CCTCCTCTTTTTCCCTTCTCCCCCTTCCCCCCTTGTTTTGCCCCCTTCCCTCTTCTTTTTTCCCTTTTTGCCCCTTTTCCCCTTCTTTTTCCTTTTTTCCCCTTCTCTTCCCCCCTTCTTTCTCACCTTTTTCTTCCTTTTTTTCCTCTCCTTTTTTCCTTTTCCCTTTTTTTTTTTTGTAGCCACAGTGCCTGAAATTTCCCTTCAAAAATAAGAAATCTGGGGGCTGAGAAACGCAGGTCAGAGCCCAAAATCCGCCCTGGCCGAGGAGGGAAGAGCTAAAAGCTGAGGAATTGGGGGCAGCCTGCCCGGCTCGGGATATATTGCTCTTATTTTAAAGCTAAAACGGGGGGTTATTCCCACACCTCTGGTCCGACAATGAAAATATCCAAAGTAAAGGAAAAAATGAAGAAAAACAAAAAACCTCTTTGAAGCCATTTTTTCCTGTCCCTGTGGGATCGCAGCAAAAACTCCCTAAGGAAATTCATTGACTCTCTGCAAGAAAAAAAACAAAATCAATCCTTAAAAAAAAAAAAAGGCATTTTTTTCTGTCCCAAATTTTTCCTAAAAAAAAAAAAAATAAATGACATTGCTCAAATTTTGTTGAAAAACCCTTAAATTTCGGGCGGCAAGAGGGAGGTTTTCAGTCGCATTGTGGAGTTAAAGGGTTATTTGGGATTCCCCCCCTCCTCAGTTTTAACACCTTCAGCAGGCGCCGACCCCTTTTTTCCTGGGAAAAAAAATAAAATAAAAAGGAAAATCCCCCCCAAGTTTGTCTGGGGAAGCGCCGTCATTTCTTCCTCGCCCGCGGTTTCCCACCGGCCCCGGGTCCCCCCCCGCCACCTGAACCAAACAGGGCCCATTTTCAGATTTTTTACTCAAATTTAGGAACAAAACATCCTCGGGCGCTTCCAAAAGTGAGAAAACAGCATAGAAAACTATTTCCCTCTAGATATACATTCCTTAGGCAGCGGTTTAATCACATCTCGTCCGCCTCAAACGGCATAAAATTGCAGCTGCAGAAAGACTAATAAATAATAATGTAATAATCAGTATTAATATTACACAAGTATAATAAAATAGAATGTAATTATATAATAAAGGAATTAAAAATACCGATACCAGTGAAATAATAAAACTTAAATATATAACAACATAAATAATAAATAACTTTTCATCATCCTACGTTCTCGTCATCAATAAACGCTTCATTCACCACGTGAGCAGCTTTTCCACTTGTTTACCCCAAAATTAAATTTAAGAAAGCCTCCCCATCGTTTATCTTTCAAAACACAGCACTTTCTTCATTAAATAAATTAATTTACCCAAACAAACAGGTGCGGACAAGGTTTGGACTGGTTTCTCCCCAGCCGTTTTCAGCCATTCATAGGACATTTCTCCCTCCTCCAGCCCTGAGGTCATGGTTGCATCATGCCCGTGCTCGTTAGTCGCGAGTCCTGATTCGCTGTCTTTGGGTTGGGCTCCTGGATCAAAAACTCAGAGTCCGCGGAGGAGCATCAAGCCACCAAGCCTTCCCTGGTGGGACGAGAGAGAGAACAGCAACGAGCAGATCCACGGTCAAGGGGATGGAGGAGGTAGACCTCCAAGAGGAGCAAGACAGCAGAAGACTTCCCAAGACTGAAAATCAAACCCAAGCCCATCCCGTCCTGCTCTGGGATGGTTTGAGGCGTTCTCCTCCCCGGAACAGGGCTGGAGACCTTCATCTGGTGGAGAGCGTGTCCCGATAGAGACGCTTCTCCTTGCTAAAAGCGTGGGAGATGGCATCTAGGCGTGACCAGGCATCTCATGGGTGGAAAGGACAACTCGCGCCCCATCGCTCCACTCATCGGCTCCTCTTACATCCGTGGGTGGAGAGCTGGTGGTGCAGGAGTCCATCCTGGAGATGCTCATCCCTGGGGAAACGGGGCTCCCGTGGGCATCCCTGAAAATCAAAGCCACCGGGAAGAGGGAGCTGGTTTGGGGGGGGCTGGAGAAGGGACATGATGAAGCAAGACCTTCCTCATCAGGGTGGATGGGGGGTGTAGGGCACGAGAGAGGACCCGGGATGGGAAAGGGGGAATCACCCACCGAAAGGAATCAACGCCCAGAGAATACGGGTCAAAAAAAGGGAATTTGAGCTCTGCAAAATGCCCGTTTGCCTGTGTCTCGCTGGAAAAACTCCTCCTCTTCCCTGAGGGGGGAAAAGAAATAAATCCACCTTATCAGCCCTGCTATCCGGGACCACCCCGCGGGTGCCAACTGCCCTTTCTTCCCCAGATCACCCATCCGATACAGCCCCCATCCCGCCCGGAGCCTCCCGAGGCCACCCCAGGGTGGAGGGGAGGGGTCTGCGCTGCTCCCCCCCGTTTAGGCAGTGGGAGCCCGCAGAGGTCCCCTGCTTGGATCAGTTCCCTTTTTTCAGGGGGAAAACATCCACAAGAGCCGCGATGCTGGGGTTATTCCCTTTTTTTCCCCAGCTTTTTGCTGTTTTCCGTGCTCACGTGAGCAATGAAAATTGAGATTTCCCCCCACTCCCCCTTTCTGGGGTTATCCCAGAATCCCTCTGGGGTGGGGGGGCTTCCCCCAGGGATACCCCAGAAGCTTCAGCTTCATCAGCAGAAAGGATGGGCTGCATCAAGGATGCCTACCCCCCAAAAAAAAGGATCTTCTCCCCCCATCCCAAGAGGATGGCTTGGGGCAGAGAGGGGCTGCACAGCCCTGCCAGGCTCCCTGGCCTCCAAAGATATCCCAGAAAGCATCTCCCGGTGGGGAAAATCACCTTCCCACCCTCCTTGGACACCTCAGAGACATCTTGTGGGTGCTACAGATGTCCCACGCTTGGCCAAGGTGAGACCATCCCCACGTTGCCCTGACCTGAGCCCTTCACCCCTTTGGGAATGGAGGGAATTCCCCCGGGAGCCAGCCCCAATCCTGCCCATGGCTCCGGTCTGCGCAGGGCACCGGCACAGCGTCACGGTGGCCATGGGGAACCTCAAACCCCTCCAAGGCTGGTGGTCACGGCACCTTGGCGGCGACTTCTCCAATGGCCGCACCCACCTCCTGCCTGCAGCCGGTCCTCTCTTCCCACCTCCGCCGTTTCTGGTCTCGAGGAATCATTTTTGCAGCCAAGGAGAAGACCTGAGCGGAGGAAAACCCCTCCAGAAGCTCCTCCTGGAGAAGCATCATGTTCAGTAGTTGCAGTTGGGGCACTCTCAACCCAAACTGTTAGTGTGGACCACGCAAAATCCCAAATCGCCCAACGTTTCTTTCGCTGAGGCTTTAAACCTCTTTTCCCCCTTTTTCCATCCCATCCCAGCCCTGGTGCCTGCTCAGGCCCCACAGCTTTCACCAACTTCCTCACAACTCTTCCTCATCGCCTCCTTCTTCACCGAAAAGGTCATAAATTTCAGTTTGTCGGCCCAGCAGCACACAGGGCTCAACTGCTCCCTTCTTATCGCAACAGCCCCTCTAAGCAGAAAGACATCCTCTGCCGATTTAAACTAACAAAAAATCAGGTATTTTGGCGTATTTTCTCACTAGCTCCATGCCCGTATAACGTCATGGCTCTTGCGTATCCAGGCCAGCTCACGGAGGAGCTCTGGATGTCTTGGACACTTAGCAAAAAATAAGGAGCATGAGCCAGCTGGACATCGGTTGGTTCAGGCGTGTCCAGCGGAAGCGATTCCTCGTGGGTTTTGGGATGGTTTTCCCAAGGGAATGCGGTGGGTAGAGGTTGCTCCAGGGTGGGCAGCTGGTGGCACCTCGGGGCTACCCCGAGATGTTGAGGATGAGCACGGCACGGGGGGCTGGGACCCTTGGGTGGGCAAACCTGGGTCTTTGCAGGGATGCAGGAGCATCAGGGATGAAGGGAAAGCTGGGAGGAGACCCCTCCCCTCCAGAGAGCTGGGATGCGGGAAGAGCCCCCGCCCCGGGCAGCGAGGATGGGGACAGGGTGCGACATTTAACGCCGAATTCAACAGCACCTTCCCGTCCCCCGTAGCAGATTCCTCTCGGTTGACCCACCGCGTTGCATCGCCGGGTCTCCCATCCCAGCTCCAAAAGGTCCGCGCCAACGCGGCGGATCAATCCCCTTGGGCATCACAACCACAACGCAGCATCATAAACTATCCCGGCGCAACAAATGCCTTTATTCCGCCACGGATAAGGCAAATTTAATTTGCTCTTTCAGACCCCGTAACTCTTATTAACGTATTTATCAGCGTATTCATAGCAAGATGCTGCAGCGAGATCTTCACCCAAAGCACGAGGAAAGCCTTCCATAATTACATCCCTTCCTTGGTGACAATTAATTAATTAGTACCAAGCCAAGAGAAACCCTTTCCCACCTACCGGAGC